TTTAGAGCCTGACAATGAACCTAGGAGTTTCGAGGACCTGGAAATCAGCCTCAGGACAGCTGGATAAGGATTAGTCATCTCCAGCAGAAAGGTGATTATGAGAGGGAAAGAAATGGTATGCCAAAGAAAACTCAGGAAGAGAGATGCAGAAAAAGCATTCCAGCAGTCATTAAAACATTGTTAATTCCATTTTCTTCAAAAAAGACTGGACACCTGAGATAGACCCCAGACACTAGTTCTGCCCTTACCCGTGCAGCCATTGGGGAATGAGTCTTCTAGTGGTTGTGTCTCCTAGCAACAAGGAAGAAGTTACTGAGCACTTATGGGGCACTAATCACCTGCTTGGTGCTTTGCATTTGCCACATAAGCTTCACAGCTTTGTTGGTAGAGAATAATATTCCCATTTTGTAGAAAAACAAATGAAGGTTCAAAGAACTTGAACAACTTGCCCAGTTGGTATGTGGCAATGCCAGGCATGAACTCTAGCCTCTCAGCTTCCAGATGCCGTGTTCTTGTGCAGCAGAAGATGAAACAGACAAAAGCCCAAGGCCACATTCAGTAGCAGCAGTCCTCCAACAAGGACTAAGAGTAAAGTGTCTGGGCAGACATCTTCGAAAAGGAGGAACACTAGCAATCAGGCTGTCTGGTTGGCAGGGGCAGTGGGGGCTGCTTCTCCCACGTCAAATGGTAGGGTCTCACGTGCCTATAGGCTTTTACCAAAGGCTTTGGAAAGGTGATGTGGTGGTGCTAGGAGGAAAAGTCAGATGAAGCAGAGAAGAATTCACTTCAACCTGTGAATTTCCTTATTTGTAGCAATAGAACCTGTCTCCTAGGGTTCTTCTGAGGATTGAAAGAGAGAGTATATGTAAAATGTTTAGCAGAGTGCAAAACCTAAGGGCTGTGGGAATACAATACATTCTTCTAAACAAAAAGTGCCTGAGCTAAACAAGGAGAAATAGAAGCTTTTAGATTTTGAACACATAGTTCCCTGTGGGTCAGAGGTTGAATGTTAGAGTCCTGGTGAAGCTATTAAAAGTATGTAAACTCCATGAGAACAGGAGTCCTGCCTGTCCTACTCATCACTTATCTCTGGGCCCTTACAGTACCTGGCCTATAGTAGGGCTCAATAAATGTTCAATGGATGGGTGGATAGATGGATGGATGGATGGATGGATGGATGGATGGATGGATGGATGGATGGACGGGCCAAAAACAAAAGTGCTGTCCTTTAGTTACAAAGAAGACTGCACTAGAGAATTGATGTCCTGTGCCCCTCTCTCAGGAAATTGCACCTGCTACCTATCATGCTGTGTAAGACAAAAACTCATGTGTCACTTTGACTACTGTTTCTCACTTCTCACAACCAACCAGCCTCCTAAACCAACCAGTAATTCCACCTCCTAAATGTTAACTTGTAAATCTCCCCCACTGCCACTCTTTTCCCCCAACACTATGGTCATTATCTTTGTTCAGACTCTTCCCAATTCTCTCCTGGAGAAACTATTCTCCAAGACTCTAGTCCAAACTATTCTCCAAGACTACAGTCTGTAGCTCCCCTCCCAATCTACTCTCCACACCTGGGACAGAATGATCTTTAAAAAACACAAATCTAATCAGGTCTCTACTGCCACCACTCGCACCCTCACCCCACTTAGGGATTGTCTATGGCTCCCTACAGACTTTAAGATAAAGCCCACACACCTAAGCATGGCATCCCCAGCCTTCACATTCTTGCTTCTATCTGCCTCTCCAGCCTTACCTGACCAAACCCCACCTTGAGTTCTGTGCCCCTCCAGCAGGTCTATGCTCTCTCTTGCCTATCCCATTGCCTGGGCTTCTTCCTCTGCCTGGCATGCTCATCCTCCACCTTCTCTGTTTCCCTTCCACTTCCTTCTGAACCCAACTCTAGCATAGCCCCCCTAGGATGCTTTCTCTAATTGCCCCGACCCCACTAAGAATCAAGTGTCCCTCCTCCTACACACTCTAGTGCTCAGTGCTTAGCCACCACACGATGGTCTGCTACCTTGTCTGTGCTTTTCAGGTGCCTGGCTTGTGGAATGCTGAGCTTTGTTCTGCACTGTGCCTAGCACGCCACCTCTAGTCCCCGGCACAATGAATGTTTGTTCAATTGATAAATACTCTGTCTCATACCAAACATGCACTTTATCAGAAGCATATTCGCAGTCAACATCACATCTTTGCCAATCATGTGACCAGTCAAGATAATTAACCAAAGATTAGGGTGTAGTCTGTGACTCTGGAAAAATCTGTTAAATTAGATATGTGGGGAATACATTTTTTTCAACCAAAAGTCAAGACATCTGAATCTAACAAATATGATCACATATTTTTCTTGTGCATAAAAATATGAATATATAATGTCTACAGCTACACAATCTGATCTTTCATTTTTGCCTTACTCTGTTAATGTTATCCAAGCATGCCAACTCAGGACACAGGGATAACAACAGCTAATTAGTAGTTGACATTCGTGTTGAACCTACTATGAATGAAGCACTATGTGAAGTGCTTTTCTATCATCTTATTTAATCTTCTCAACTACCTTTTGAGCAGATCCTATTATATTTCCATTTTACAGATGAGGAAACTGAGGCTTAAAAAGGTTAAATAGCTTACCAGAGGTTACACAGCCAGCAAGGGATGAGTATTTGCTTTGATCCTCTCAGTCATTCTGCAATACTGACCTAACCATGACCTCTTAACCTTATTAGATCATCAAAAGAGCCACTACTGGGCAAAAATAGCTGTAGCTTCCGGAAATTTTTATTAAAACTCTAAATCTCCTGGCAATAACTTTCAAAAGTTATGATTCAGACCAGCAATGATATTTGAAAATGGAATCACCATGCAAGTCTCCTGGCTACGGAGATGCTCTTGATTCCAGAAAGGAATGCTCAACCTTGGCATTTATGACAATCTGTGTTTTTCCCATTACTTGGTCTTTTGCCATCATTCACTACTGAAAGCCACTGACCCTTATTCTGTCCTCTTTGGGGAATCCTCTTCTTCAGGTTTAACCAGTTCTGTCCTTTTCCATGATTTTCATTTCACTGGGATCTAGAACAATGTTCTCAAAGTCCTGCCCACTGACCATCTGCATAATGATGGCCTGGACACAAAAGTGCATATTCTGAGCCCCATCTGACAACTGTCACATAGAATCTCTACAGATTGGAGCTCTGGAGCAGTCTTTTACATTTCACTTTCCCCATGTAATTCTTATGAATACTAAAGTTTATGAACCAAAAGAGTAGTCTACAGATCCTCTTGACTCAAAGTTTGATCCCTGGACTAACAGCATCAGCAAGTTGTTAGAAAATGAGGAACCTTAGGCCCCAACCTTGAACTACTGAATCAGAATCTGTATTTTAACAAAATCCTCAGTTCATTTATATATGCACATTATTGGGCATACAGAGAGCCAGTGATCTAGAACAACGCTTCCCAACTTTTTTTTTACAACATGGCATGCATAAAAAAGAAATCTGTTCAGCACATTGGGAACACAGATGAGGATGCTTGCTGTGGCATTGGAGCTTAGCCCACCCCAGACCTCACCTGGCCACCCTGAAGGCTGAGGAAATTGATACGTAGGCTTACGTGTGCCGTGGCACACTGGGTGAGAAGTGCTGGTCTACTTAAAGTACACCCAATTCTTCTGACTTTTTCCAAGAGGCATAGTTCTCTAGATCTTGCTTACTTTTATATCCTTCAACATTTATCATTTTTTCTACTGAGAGTCAGAAAGGCTACTTCCCAACCAACTAGATCTTGGAAATCTTCACACAATGGAAGAACACAGTCTCATTTTCAAGGTCTAGAGAGACTCGGGAAAGGGCAGAGAAGAGTTGTGTCTGTTATACCAGTCATCTGCTATGGCCTAATGAAAACAAGGAAGAAATGCCAGCCCTCTTCCCTCTGGAGACTGCTCCTTTCCCCTGGTCCACAAATCTGAGGGTGGAAGATTAGCAACATGCAAGGTGGCTTCCTCTCTCCTGAGTGCCAAGAAGAATGTGATTTTGTTAATCCTTCCTTGGCAAAATCTGTCAGCTTATAAACTGGACAGGTGTCCCTTCTCTTAGCCAGCCCCTGATAATGGGGTGACAGTTGGGGTGGAAGGAATGGAATACCTTCAGAAACACTTCCTGGTGAGACCATCTGATCAAAACCACCAAGTGTCAGGACAGCCATCTGACTTAGCAAAGCCCCCAGCTAAATGGTAACCCTAGTGATTGATTTTTTTTTTTTTTCCTCCTAAGGCAAATGTTGAAAAAAATTAAAGCTCAAAATGGTGAGCTCTTACTTTGAAGACAAACATGACAAGGTCTACCACTAAATGAAGGATTGTCATGGCCTAACCAAACACAGCTGGGGCAGAGGGAGGGGGAGTATTGCTACCAAACAACTCACCTTTTTTACTTCTTTCCAACTTGCCTACAACTCTGTATCTAATTCTCTTTCCTCTGCTTCCCCTAATCAGAGCACAGGCAAAGCAGCACATATTTTGGTTGGGTTAGTGTGTGGCTGTCCCTCCTTTGTCCTAAGACTGCACATCCCTCAAGTCTCAAAAGGGTGGATAATCTTCCTTCCATACCCTAACCATCCCAAAAGAGGGCTCTGCCTAAAGTCCCTCTGCATGAGTAATAGAAAGAACAGTGACCAGAGCATGCTGTCACTTGCCACCTCTGGTTGACTTTTCATGGAACTCTTTCCTTGATGCAAATACAGAGGCAAGGAGGCCTTTCTCCTGCTCTGACTAGGAAGTTCAGAGAACAGCTGGCAGTTCACCCAGAGTTGCCATGATGGCTAAGAAATGAATGGATTTTCTGTAAGTGCCTAGCAAAAACAGTTGGTAAAATTTCTATTCTTTGATTAACAAGTGCTGCGAGTGTAAGATTGGGGAATGCTGCAGGCTTGGACCTCCCAGTCCAAATAAAATAGCTATTTTACATGACATTTCAAGTGCAGAATATTGAGCCATCTCTCTGCTTCATGGTCCAGGATGAAGAACAAGCTGTGGTACTTTGAATTTGGCACCTCAGAGACCTTTGCAGCCACCTGCAAAAAACTCAATGACCACATAGAGTTGGAGGTAAGTTCCGAAGTGGGGAGAAGGCTTCCCGGACCTTGGTTCTGCTCCTGGACTGTCCCACAGACCCTCAGGATGTATCCTCTTGGAACCCTAAGAGGTGACGCAGAGTGTAGTCAGTATGTTGTACCACCATCTTGTTCCCAAACACCTCCACAACCTCACTCAGAGGGCTCCAGTTGCTGGGCCGGCCTTTCTTGGGCTGTGCAGAGAGTCCTTGGGGCTCTGGGACCCAAAACCCCAGAAGACCCAGAGCCACAGTGCATTCGGGCCTTCAGCCCTCCTCCCATCATGGCCTTGTTATTCCCCCTTTTCAGAGAGGCAAAGATTTAGTTGCCACCAGCACAGGGAGTGGGGCTGCTGTTGGGGTAGAGGCAATGTCCCAAGCCTGGTAAAAGTCTGGGAACTGGTGACCACAGAGCAGCAGGGGTGGGGGCATGGGGGTTGAGGCCAGAGGTGATCAGACAGCTCCCAGCTCCCCTGCCTCAATTTTCACAGCTGCTTCAAGGAGCCAACTCATAGGTCCCCGGGGTCAGCTTTGTGGGTATGCCACCTGTGCAGTCACAAAGGTCCCTGTGCTCAGAGTACCCTTGGCTTAATGCTCTTTTGTCAACTGTCTTGAAATTCTTGGTCATTTTTAACAAAGAGCCCTACATTTTCATTGTGAACGGGGCCCCATAAATTACGTAGCCGATCCTGTTGGTGCACTTGCACTTTGCTGAGTCCTCTGGCACTTGTAGCAGCCTGCCTTGGACCGTTTGCCCTTCGGCTTCCCTTCCCAGGTTGATAAGCTGCCCACTTACCACCCCCACCCCCACTTCCGCTGGGCTGCTCTCCTGGTGTCCTCTCACTGACTGCTACAAGCACGTCTCCTCGGTCTCTGGCCACCTGGAGGCCCAAACTTCTCGGCACACCCACTCTGTCTTGGCTCTGTGGGACATCAGGCCCATGGGTTCTCTTGCCCAGAGTTCTTAGCCACCAACCCCACCTTCCCATGGGATTCAGGCCTGCAGTCTTGTTCTCACTAGACAGAAACAAGTCTCTTGGGAGAGAGGCAGCCTGAGAGTTTAGCCAGGAAGAGCTCCTCCCGGCCCACCAGTTTTGTCTCTAAGCGCCCCCAGCAGTCCAGGGGGGCCTGGACATCCCTCCAAGGCGGAGTGTTTGGCCTGAAGCAGTGCGGGAAAGGCCCGCCACTCCCTGCCAGAAGGAAGGAGCCCGCCTCTCGCTTGCAGGGAGTTTTCACAGACAAAACACAAAGCCAGAGGCTCTGTGCGCCTGTATTTGACTCATCTGCCAGCCTCTCCCACTCTCAGGTTGCTGGGTTACTGACACCAGGGTTGGGGGCTGGTCCCTGGCTAATCCCCTGAACTCTTGGCCATCTCTGTCAGAGGGCAGAGAGGCCCAGGAGCCAGGGGCCTGCGTCCCCAGGTGGTATGTGGCCACGACCACCTATACTTGGGAGAGGCTGAGGAGCCAGAAAATACATAAATACACTGCCTGGAAGCTGCAGAGGAAGGAGGAGAGGCCTTGGCAGGGGGACTGTGTGTGGCTAACAGAGATATATGTGCATTTTTCCTTTTGGCATGATCATCTGATGGGGTCTCTTTAAATACACCACAAGTGAGGACAGCCCTGGCCTCACCACCGCCAGCTGCAGGCATACAGCGACTGCTTGTTCTCCCTGCAGCTGGCCTTGAAATTGTGCCAGAGTACAGCAGCTCAGCTCCCCTGCCTCTGTGGCCGCCCTCCGGGCTCCAGGCCCAGCCGTGCCAGACAGTCCCCTGTGGGTCCAAGACACAGCAGATCTTCCTCAACCATAAAAGGGGCCGGTGGCTTTGCTGCTAAAAACACTGGTGGCCTCTGGAGGGGGTGGGGTTGTTCAGGCTGTGGGTTGTTGGGAGCTTTCAGAAGCACTTCCTGTCTCCCTTATCTTCCCATAATAAGTCTTTTTAGTATTTATTCACGAGGGTAGGCTGGAGGGGTGGGGGCGAGGGTGTCATGTGATGGGCAGCTTCTGACAGCCGGCAGGACTGGTACGGGCACCATTTCTGCATCCAGAGAAGGGTGGGTGGATGGTCCTGCGCGTTGTGATCCACAGGGGGATGGCAAGAGACAAGGGGGCAAGGCATGTGAGTGACAGGTGTAAGGAGACTGCAGAGCACCGCAGGTAGATGTGAGCACATCAGGGTCCTCAAGAAGAGCAAGTAAGAGAAGCTGTGTTAAGTGACCTTGTATGTGTGGCTGCTGCACACAACAGCCCAGGCCTGTGAGGACCAGCACACAGCCCACCAGCTCAAGGTCAATGAGCCTGGGAATAACTCCATACAGGTATTTGTACTGCATGTCACTATTTTCAAGCCGCGCCATAGCCCTCATCCCAAAGTCACACACAACCCTGTCAGCTAAGTAGGCCAGGGACTATTATTCCCATTTTATGGAAAAGCAAACTGAGGCACAGAGGTTTACAGGGGTAAACAGAAGGGAAAGAAGAGTGAAAAGGGACGAGAACAAGTCACATGCTTTGTCTGCCTACCATAACACGTCCTCATTTGCTATGACAACTCAGTGAGGCAAGTATTATCACGTTTTTTAAATGAGGCTTAGATACATCAAGTAACTTGATCAAGATTTCATTGCTGGAAATGTAAAAGAAGATTCCAGGTGTTCCAGAGTGAGTTTAGCTCAGAACCTGATAAATAAAGATTTACCTAACAAGTGCTAGAAACTCAGCAAATTCTTCAGCGTGGATTCACTGTTTCTTCCTCCTTTACCATATATTGGACCAGTCGATTCCCTCCCAGGTCAGGCGGTTGGGCAGCTCTGCTGAGAAATGCTTTGTAAAAGGACAGAAGACACAGTGCCCTGCTCACTTGAGGAAGGAATAGATTCAGGCTAGACGGTTGGAGAGAGGGTCAGAGAAGAAAACCACCTTAAAGTTTTCAAAAGATTTTCCCACACAGCATCTCATTTTATCTTGATTCACAGAACATGCAGGGCAAATATTAATTTCCTCACTTTATGGATGAGAAAACTGAGGCTGAGAGGTTCAATGGCCTGAGAAAGGGCACAACTGTCAGGAACTCAGGAGAACAGATAGTGAAGTCTCTCTAGTTTCTTCCTTCTGTTGGCTTCTTTGTTTGTTTAGTCACTCTGGTAAAAAGTTGGATGGGGAAGCTTAAAGCTCAAATAAGATTTTACAGGGAAGGTCTCCATTAAAAGCCACTCACATGATATACAGACTGTTTCTCTGAGGCTAGTGGCTGGTTGAGAAGTAATAGAAGACTTGTTCCTGTCCCTGAAATAAAGCTTATGGCCCAGTTGACAAGACAGAATAGTCCACAGAACATACAAGAGCTGGTTAATATAGTGCTCACTTAACTAATGCTAAGGAAACTAGATGCAAGGAGTCCTGGAGCCACGTGTCAGATCACTCTGGACCCTGTTTTGAGGGGCCCAATGACTCAGGCAGGGGAGAGGTTGACTCCAGATCTACTGTTCACCTGCAGACCCTTCACCAGGGTCGCCAGCACAGTGAAAGGGTCCTGACTCAGATTCATAAGGCCTAGGGATTAGCCCTGTTCTGCACTTAGATTAAGTAACTTGCTAAACTGTATGTCTGAGTCTCAGGATTCTCATCTATAAAACGGGAGGAGAGGAGGTTGGCCTACCTTCCAAGGCTATTTTTCGCATTAAAGTTTTCAGGGCTTTTTGGTTTTTTGGTTTTTTTGGTTTTTCAAATATAACTGGCAGTGGTGTTAAGTGCCTCACAGAATCTGCAAAGCAGCTCTACGTGGCACGTATCATAATCACCTTTCCAGAGAAGGGGGACAGAAGCTGACAGAAGGTAAGAAGCTCACCTGAAGTCCACAACCTATGAGTGGACAGGTCAGGCTTCAAATCCAGATTGTCCAGAAACCTGGAAGTTTCAGGGTAGTATTGGCACTTGAAAAGCTCAGTTTAGAGCAGAGGCTCTCAACCAGGTATGGGGCATATCCAATCTGCTTATTTTTCAGTTTTTTATTTATTTTGACATTTCAGATAATATAAAAAGCAGACATGAGATTTTTATGTTTATCAAAAAAGGAACATAAAAAAATTGCAAATGCAATAAATTGCTGTCAGCTCTAATTAAGAAGCCGCATGTCACCCACACCCCCCACCCCACCAACCATCATCATCCCTGGTCTAAGGTGATTTCTCAGGGTCTCTGATATCACTTCCCTTCCAAAGAGGCCCTTGATGTTCATTCTAACCTGATTTCACCTGAAAAAACAGGTGGGGGTGGGGTGAGGCAGGTACCCAGTACATCACCTCCCCCACCCCAGGCCCAGAATAGCTTTGCAAAGGTTTTCTGACTGATCATAGTCAGGTGGAGCAAACCAGGCAGGCTTCAACTAGAGCACTTATTTTACATTCTGTGGAAATGTTTCATTTCACTGGCTAAAAATAAGAACTTCCAAAATTCCTTGATATTTAATCTTTAAAACAATGTTCACAAGGGAAGGCTAGCCAGCTCCACTTACATGAACCTCAGTATGGGGGAGAGTGAGTCCAAATCTGGAAGCTGCTCAAAAAAATCTGTTATCCAGTATATTTTGGGAATCTCTGCACATCAGTTACCCCTTTTAATTGAGGATTTTTAAGAAAAAAATGCAAAGAAGTCTTGAGAACATTATATCAAATACTCCCATTTCTCTCTTGCTCAAAATTGATATTCGTTAATATTTTGTCTTATGAGTATTTCCTTCAAGTATTTTTCAATCAAAGAAATAAAATATTATAGATAAAACTGACATCCCCCACAATCCCTTCATGAACTGCCACTGCCTTTCTAACTCACCAGTCCATTCTTGAGACCTCTCCACATCAATGTTGATAGAGCTGGTTCATGACTCGTAACCACTCCATAATGCTCTATGAATACTGCACCACTGTTGGTGAGAAGGCGCAGAAATGGGATTCTCAGACAGTGCGGTGGGAACATAGGTGGTAAGCCACTTTGG